TGCAGCCCTTAAAGCAGAAAAAAATAATAATCAAAGTTGCCCCTTATTGCTTGGCATTCTTTATGCTCTCTTGTTCACTGAACAACCACCCTGCCTTCCTCCAAATCATTCTTTAAAACATGCTACTTTTGTGAAGAATTTAACACCAGCTCTATGAAGCAGGGACTGTTTTTCTCTGTATAAGGCCAAGTGTCCAGCCAGCCAGCTCTCTCTAAATGCTAATATAATTCCTATTGTAGTAGCAGCTTGGTGATCCAGATATGGACCAGGATGTCACTCTGCTGACCGCTGTACACACACACAACAAAAATATTCTCCTTGTCCCAAAGAGATTACAGTAACATCAGAGGTGAAAGTAAGCCGGTCCGATCCGGTACACCATGCCGGCAAGAGGCGGTACGCCATGCCGGACTGGACCGGCTTCTCCAGCGGTGCTTTAAAGGGCCCAGGGCTCCAGCCCTCCAGCCCCGGGCCCTTTAAATCACTGCCGGAGCTCCGGCAGCCGGACTCGGGCGGGGATTTAAAGGTCCTGGAGCTCTGGTCCCTGAGGGGAGCCCCGGGCCTTTTAAAGCACCGCCCGAGCCCCGCTGCTGGAGCTCCAGCGGCGCTTTAAAGGGCCCAGGGCTCCCGCAGCGGCCAGAGCCCTGGGCCCTTTAATTCGCCCCTGAGCCCCGGGGCTCCCAGCCACCTCTGCAGCTGGTAGCTCCAGGCTGATTTAAAGGCCCTGGGGCTCCCAGCCACAGCCGGAGCCCCAGGGCCTTTAAATCTTGAAAGGCCCCACCTCTTCCGGTTGAGGCCACGCCCTGCTCAGGACTCCGGCGTACCGGTAAGTCCTTTAAGTTACTTTCACCCCTGAATAACATTACCATCATATCAGATACCATGATGAGACACTTGGTATTAAAACCAAGATATATATATCAAGGTGCCTTTCAGCAATAAAGGGACCATTTAAAATGTAGATATAGGGCCAATTTCTGTCCTCTTTTCCACCGATACAGCCCAAATTACTGAAGTGGCACTGGTGTAACTGAGGGTAGAATTTTTTTGGAGTGTGGCCCTAGTGGAAATTTCCGGTATATTGCATTAGCTTTAACTGGTCCCTTGTTTTTTACTGGAGGATCCATTGATTTGTTCCAAAAACCAGTTGCCAACTGGAAATTTTCAATGTGAGTTTCCAGTAGGGTGAATAAAGCCAATTTGGGAGAAGGATCCTAGTGTATCCTGCCTGGGAAATGTTTTGATACTATCCATGAAGTCTATACAGCTGTTCTCAACCTGTGGTCTGTGAGGCTCTTCCTGGCCAGCCACAGAATGACATATTTTGAGAGCCAAGTGTTGGGAAGACGGTTTTGGGTGGGAGGGTGGCTCCATGAGGGGAGTTCTCTCTGAGGACGTGGTCTGCAGAATGAAAAGGTTGGGGAACCACTGATGTAGTACATTCCAAGGACCAAAAACAACAACAACAACAACAAAATTGTGTGGAAAAAATGGTAAACAGTGAGGTGAAATAATTTGCAGATGATACAAAACTACTCAAGATAGTTAAGTCCCAGGCAGACTGCGAAGAGCTACATAAGGATCTCTCAAAACTGGGTGACTGGGCAACAAAATGGCAGATGAAATTCAATATGGATAAATGCAAAGTAATGCACATTGGAAAACATAATTCCAGCTATACATATAAAATGATGGGATCTAAATTAGCTGTTACCACTCAAGAAAGAGATCTTGGAGTCATTGTGGATAGTTCTCTGAAAACATCCACTTAATGTGCAGCAGCAGTCAAAAAAGCAAACAGAATATTGGGAATCATTAAGAAAGAGATAGATAATAAGACAGAAAATATCATATTGCTATATCAAATACTGCATGCAGATGTGGTCGCCCCATCTCAAAAAAAGATATATACCTCTACCCTGATATAACGTGACCCGATATAACATGAATTCGGATATAACGCGGTAAAGCAGTGCTCCAGGGGGGCGGGGCTGCGCGCTCCAGCAGATCAAAACAAGTTAGTTATAACATGGTTTCACCTATAACGCGTTAAGATTTTTTGGCTCCCGAGGACAGCATTATATCGGGGTAGAGGTGTATTGGAAAAGGTTCAGAAAAGGGCAACAAAAATTATTAGGGTTATGGAACAGCTTCTATGTGAGGAGAGATTAATAAGGCTGTGACTTTTCAGCTTGGAAAAAAGAGATGCTAAACAGGGGATATGATAGAGTTCTATAAAATCATGACTGGTGTGGAGAAAGTAAATAAGGAAGTGTTATTTACTCCTTCTTATAACACAAGAACTTGGGGTCACCAAATGAAATTAATAGGCAACATTTAAATGTTTAAAATAAACAAAAGGAAGTATTTCTTCACACAACACACAGTCAGCCTGTGGAACTCTTTGCCAGAGGATGTTGTGAAGGCCAAGACTATAACAGGGTTCAAAAAAGAACTAGGTACATTCATGGAGGGTAGGTCCATTAATTGCTATTAGCCAGGATGGGCAGGGATGGTGTCCCTAGACTCTGTTTGTCAGAAGCTGGGAATGAGTGACAGGGAATGGATCACTTGATGATTACCTGTTCATTCCCTCTGGGGCACCTGGCATTGGGCACTGTCAGAAGACAGGATACTGGGCTAGATGGACCTTTGGTCTGACCCAGTATGGCCATTCTTATGTTCTTTTGTGTGGAGGGCGGGGTGCAGATCTACCCCTGTCTACTACTGTTTAGCTGAAATCAGCTACCCTGTCTGAGCAACTCTAGTTATAGGCAACTGCCCATCCCCTTTCGCCCAATTCAGACAGCATGGACATCTTGCCTTCTTATTTTGTGTCCATTCACCTGCTGCAGGATCCACCACCAAATGGGTGCAGGCCCTGGGCCCACGTCAATGGGAATGGCTCTTGTGTCTGGTGTGTAATGCTCCTTAGTGAACCTGTGGCTGTCTGATTCACAGTCATGCTTGTAGGGCATAACAAGTGGGGTCCTGCAGGGATCGGTTCTGGGTCTGGTTCTGTTCAATATCTTCATCAATTATTTAGATAATGGCATAGAGACTACACTTATAAAGTTTGCAGATGATACCAAGCTGGGAGGGGTTGCAAGAGCTTTGGAGGATAGAATTAAAATTCAAAATGATCTGGACAAACTGGAGAAATGGTCTGAAGTAAATAGGATGAAATTCAATAAGGACAAATGCAAAGTAGGAAGGAACAATCAGTTGCACACGTACAAAATGGGAAATGACTGCCTAGGAAGGAGTACTGCGAAAAGGGATCTGGGGGTCATAGTGGACCATAAGCTAAATATGAGTCAACAGTGTAACGCTGTTGCAAAAAAAGCAAACATCATTCTGGTATGTATAAGCAGAAGTATTGTAAGCAAGACACGAGAAGTAATTCTTCCGCTCTACTCCGCACTGATTCGGCCTCAACTGGAGTATTGTGTCCAGTTTTGGACGCCACATTTCAGGAAAGATGTGGATAAATTGGAGAAAGTCCAGAGAAGAGCAACAAAAATGATTAAAGGTCTAGAAAACCTGACCTATGAGGGAAGATTGAAAAAATCGGGTTTGTTTAGTCTGGAGAACAGAAGACTGAGAGGGGACATGATAACAGTTTTCAAGTACATAAAAGGTTGTTACAAGGAGGAGGGAGAGAAATTGTTCTTAACCTCTGAGGATAGGACAAGGAGCAATGGGCTTAAATTGCAGCAAGGGCGGTTTAGGTTGGACATTAGGAAAAACTTTCTAACTGTCAGAGTTGTTAAACACTGGAATAAATTGCCCAGGGAGGTGGTGGAATCTCCATCATTGGGGATTTTTAAGAGCAGGTTGGACAAACACTTGTCAGGGATGGTCTAGATAATACTTAGACCTGTCCTGAGTGCGGGGGACTGGACTAGATGACCTCTCGAGGTCCCTTCCAGTTCTATGATTCTACCATATGCGGTGGCTCAGGGTATATCTATGCTACAGCAGCACTGCTATGGAGCTGCAGCTGTGCTGTTGTAAGGCTGCTCCCTGCATTGCCGGAAGGGGTTTTTCCAATGCTGTAGAGAATCCATCTCTTTGAGAGATGGTAGGTAGCTTGAGGGAAGAATACTTCTGTTGCTCTAACCCTTCTACACCAGGGGTTAGGTCTGCCTGACTACAGTGCTGAAATTTGTCACAGCCCTTGAGCAATGCAGCTAGGTTCCACCTACGTTTTCATGCCCAATGCCCCTGCCCATGATGGTTCTGGCAATATCTAGCTCTGTGTCCCAGCCTGGGACCTGGCCAATGACCATGTGAGTGTACCCCACACACCTCTTGGGTGTGATGTTTTGTCCCCTTTAGTGGCCTCCAGACCACTTAGAGATGAATGAGTCCGCTACAGCTAAGGGCCAGCGTTTAGCTCAAGCAATAGAGGCACATGCATTTAGCTCCTGAGGTCCCAGGCTAGATCCTTGCCCGCCTACCACTGGGGTCTGTCGGTATTACATGAGCACAGTGCCCTCCAGCGCAGGGAGGCTGCCTGTTGGCCACCAGCTCCAGGACTCAGGCCGGGTGGCACCTGCCAAGGGCTGCTGCACAGGGCGTGTTTGCGAAGCCCTTTCACTTAACCAAAAGCTGCCAGCCGGGAGACCCCCTGGGACCTGCTGCGGCGTCTGTGTGCGCTCGCTGGCACGTGTGCGGGAACTCCAGCCAACTTGCCCGAGGGTGGGTGGGTGTGTGAGAGGGCGGAGGGCGGTGATGGAAGGAGGAAACTCCGCCGCTCCGAACGGCCCGTGAAGAGCCGCGGCAGCCGCAGGGGGACACCGGAGTCGCGTCACGCTCAAGCGGAGCAACCTCTGCCTGGCGGGGAGCGACCAGCAGCGCCCTCTGGTCCCTGGCTGCGGAGAGCAGCCGCTGCGTGCAAAGGCGAAGGGCCAGCGGCTCTTATCTGAGCAACAGCGTCTCCGGCTTCCTTCCCCTGCGGCAGCGACACCCAGCAGGTACCGTGCCGGCTCCGCGGGCAGGTCCCAGGGCTGGCTCCAGAGGGGGCGAGTCTCCCGGGGGTCGGACGGGCTCAGACACAGTCCCGGCGTGTGGCTACCGCGGGCAGGTCAGCGAGCGTCCAGACGGGAGCCGGTGTAAACCTTTCCCTAAGACGTGCGGCGTCCCGCGGCTTGGGCCAGCAGAGGGCTGGGTGGGACGGAAGAGGGGCTGGTTAAGGGAGCCGGCTGCCCGGGATGCTGCTGGCTGTGCTGCTCCCCAACCGGGGGCAGGCTGTGATTTGGGGGGGGATGGTGAGCCAGGGAAGTGAGTCTCCCCTGGCTTGCCACCGGGACAGCTCGGAGACTAATCGAAGGTGGAGGCTGCAAAGCAGCGGGGCAGATCCACGTGTAAAATCCTCCCCTGTGTTTTCCCCCTTCCAGAGGGGTTTGCGCTGTTCATTCAATCGCTCAGCCGCGGGCGGTTCCCATTGCGGGAAATGACCCACGCTGCATCCAGAGTTGGGGGTTTGTCTACGACAAGAAAAGTTAAATGGAGACGCTCATTGACAGCCTCGTTTCAATAGACGGATTGATCTCCGGGCAGGTCTGCGTTCCAGGCAGGAGAGCGGGTAACGCACCCGCTGGCAAGCTGCGCGCAGCAAACCATTGCGTGAGTTGATCTGGAGTTTATCCCTGGGCAGCCTGAACACAGATCATTGCATGAGCGGATCTGGGACTGGGTTGCAGCAGGAGAGTGGTGTTCGGGTCAATTTCCCACTCTTTCTCAGGCAGCCTCCATCGGTCTGTCTCCCCCGGCCAAACCGCTCACGTTTGCGAGGCGCTCTGCAAATCTGTGGCTAATTCCCTGCAGCGGCTGGCTGGCGTGTTCGCTTTTGCCTGCCCGTTAAGTAGGGAGCGTTTGCTGAGGTGCTCTGGGCACCCGCCTGCTCTCTGGCTCCCCGCAGATGCTCGCGCCATGCAGCGCCGGTGCAGGTGCCAGACACCTGGCAGCAGTTCCTGGGGCGTCGTCTAGATAGCACAGCCGGGTCTGCAGTGCAGCTGCCTTACCGCCTACAGTGTGGGACACCACTGGGGGCTCGGGGGCTTCCCAAGCACTCTATGTCCCCTGTTCAGGCCGGTGAGATCATCAGCTCAGGTGTTTTGGCTTTGCCCTTAATTAATACACTGCAAATAATTCATGCACAACTAGGTAGTAATTAATATTCCCCACCGAGGTGGGTAATATACATTTATAATGTTTAGAGTATCAGAGGGGTAGCCGTGTTAGTCTGGATCTGTGAAAAGCAACAAAGAGTCCTGTGGCACCTTATAGAAAGCTTATGCTCCAATACGTCTGTTAGTCTACAAGGTGCCACAGGACTCTTTGTCAATGTTTAGAGTAGGCGATTGGGAGTCAGGCTGTGCCCCTGACTTGCTGTGTAACCTTGAGCAAGTCCCTTCAGCTCACTGTGCCTCAGGGTACCCTTCTGTAGAATGAGGATAATTATATTTACCCACCGTTTAACACGCTTTGAGATCACTCGGTGAGAAGTGCTATGTCAGTGCTCAGTATAATTTGTGAGCTAAACTTTGTTCAGCTCTTTTTATTTGATTGGATTTCTGGAGAGCGAGACACTATAGGGGGGAATCCTCCCAGAGCTGCAGAAAGAGGGAGTAATATGCCCACTGACTGTGAGTCCTCCAGGACAGGCAATAGGTTTGAACCACAGCCCTGCACCAGCACCAGATTATCATTACATTGCCATCTCTTCCCCGGGAGGGGGAAACGCACTGCTTTGGATCAGAATTAAACAGACACGGGAAGTGCTCCAGAGCTTAGGTATTCGGACTATGGGGAAGGAGGCCATACAGGTCGACAGATCAGTTCCTCCATCTACCTATGTGGAATTCCTTAGTGCTTTTTGAACCAGTTATTGTTTAAATGTTTCCTTAGACAATGGAGGAGAAGGAATGACACAGGTGGGTGGCCATATGCAGTCCTAATGTAGTGCATGCAACTCTATTGAACTCTGGAGTTGCAATTGCTGAGAGCAATGCTGCATCTTTCTCAAGCTCAGCTACTACAGTGAGGAGCGTGATCTAATTGTTTATTTTCTTCAAATGTATCCAGCTGTGGTTAGTATCTGAGTGCCAGTTTGGCCTGTGGTGTTCACTGGAATGATATTGCTAACTTTCTCAAAATTGCAACAAGCTGTATATTGCTTTGTACAGGCAAATGCATAGATGGTGCCCAGGTGCAGTTGCCAAAGCTCATTGTTTCATTGTAAATATTGAAAATGCCTTTTGTTGTTTCTGGAGTGGAAACATTCCATATTGTGTGATGTGATTGGTCTTTGGTGGGCATTGAAGAATTACAAAGCAGCCACTTAGATTTCCATAAAACAGAACGAGACAAAAAATGTCCAAGAACAATAGGGATGATTTGGGAACAGTCAGACCGTATACCAAACAGCTCATTCTTGTCTGCTCAGAAAACAAGCTCCCAAGCTGCTCATCTGCATAGCTCTGTCTTTACACAGATGCAGACTAGCACATTAGTTGCAACAATATACTCAATCACCTTTTACTATTCTTATTCTTGCATTTCTAGTCAATAGGAAAAGATACCTGGATTCCATTTTAATCTTTAGTGAATGGATTAACACACTGCAAAGTAGTTATCTAATATTCCTCTAACGTGAATTATTACATGTGTGAAATATGATTAATTTTATCTTTGTCTTTTAGTAGTTTACTCAGCTGAAGATGAGAGAATGATGATGGGCCTTTTTGTTTACAGTGAGTTTTCAGAGGGAGATATGCCCCTACAGATACCATGGTGATGATTAGTGGTTTGATCTGCATCCATTAAAGTCAATTGGAATTTTGCAATTGACTTGAATGGGGTAAGGCTCAAGAAGAGATTCATGTGTGTGTGTTTCAAAAATTGTGTTAGAAAATTAAATATAAATAATGTATTTTATAAAGTGTCCCCTCCCAAAACCATTGGGATGCTACTTATTAATTATGCAATAATTATAAAAACAATAATTAATTAAAAACACAAAACTACTATATGACTGCCAAAGCATTATAAAGCAAACAAAGAATAAACTAATTACAAAAAATCCTCAGCTCCAAGTTATAAAATAGACTCCAAACAAACCACATGCACGATCCATAGAATAACACAAGTGGGGATAAGTAACAGGGTCACAAGAACACAGGTAAATTAAAACCTCTATAATTTAACCTATCAAAAATGCCATAATCATTTAATGAGATGCTATTTGTGCAGACTTTCTCACTCTGATACTCAAAGGTATTTAGGCACCTAATTCCCATTGATTTCAGTGTAAGTTAGAAGCCTAAATACATCTTGGGATCTGGGCCTTTGTGTTTACAGTGTTCAGAATTATGGAATGATTCTGCTTTCTTTTTGCATCCAAAACCCTGCTGAAGTCAGGGGGAGTTTGGGTGTGAAAGGAATATAGCACTGGGCTCTCAAAACTCTTATCTTTGCAAAGTCTTTTTGCTCCAATGCATTGGTCTTTTAGGTCTGGAAGTCTCCTTTTCCTCTTTCGCCCAAGTGCTGTCCAACTGACAGCCAATTAGCTGGAAGCACTAGGGAGAGAGGGAGGTCAAAAGCATAACTTCCCACTAAGGACTAGATATGGAAAGGTGTAAGGGTACCTAAAAGCATGTAAAGATACAGATAAGATGCCTATTGGAATTTTCACAAGCACTTTGGTACCCAACTCCCATTGGTTTCAGTAGAAGTTAGGCTTTATTTCAGAGGGAGTTAGGCTGTATTTGCATCTTAGGTACCTAAAATACCTTTACAAATCTGGTCATAAATGCATCACCTGCGCTCTTCCATCTAAAAAGCTGCCATATTCTTACAAAGAAAAAAAAAAGGCTTACACAAGAAATTCACTTAAACTTTCTATAAAATATTACATCCAAAGCCTCAGACTTGTTGCCTGCCTTATACTGAAAATAAAATCGATTTCCTTATCTTGCTCCTATGACCAGAGTATCAGAGCACCTTACCAGTATTAATGAGTTTAACCTCACCACTCCACTGTGAGATAGGGAGTTATTATTTACTCCCATTTTACAGATGGGGAATTATGGCCCAGAAAGATTAAGGCCAAAATGTTCGCATGGCCAGTAATTTTGTGTGCTCACCTAGAGACAGCTTGTGTTTAAACTCTTTATCTTCCCTCATTCCAGGGCCGGCTGGGGATCAGGGTGGTCTCCAGCATATACTAGAGCAGCCTGAAGGCTCCTGTAATTTACACCCAGCTCCAAATAGGCTGATTGATCAGCCAGGCATCAACTGGATTTCCTGTCTTTGCCCACATTTCCCTGGCCACAGTCTCTACACTGCCCTTGATGACAGAGCCACTATGTCAGTCTGTAGTTGGCTGACACTCAGCCTGGACTTAGCTGTAGTTTCTTTGAATTTCTTGCATCTGGATCCCCTACAGGAGTACTCACTCCTGGACAATCTCATTGATCCCAGTGAGAGTTCAGCTCATACCCAGGCTCCTTTCTGAGTCCCGTAACAGTTCACTTGTCTCTAATCCCAGGCGGCTGTCCCCAGGTTCCGCGAGGCAAGGGAACTCCCTCTACGTTTGTGTGGCCAGTCTTATCCTTTTAAACTCCACTTTTCCAGGTGAAACATGTTCTGCAGGTGTGCCCGAGTGCAGGAATGCTCATTAGCCTTTCTATCAGTGGGATGGGGTCATGTATCATCACATACCTGCCCCCCTTCCCGCCCTCAACACCAGAAGAGTTTCTTGCTCGAGCATTTCTCCAGTCCCAATCTCCCTGGGGAAAAAATATCTGCATTTGCATGCTCTTTCCCTGCGTGGTGCTGTACCCAGAAGCTATAGGGCTGGAGCGCTAGATACCAGCTGATAATCCAGAGGGTTGAGTCCTTCATATAGTGTAGCCTCCACAAGGTCATGTGGCAGGTGGTTTGGGAAAAGGGACTACCCAGCATATAATAGCTGAGGGAGTCCACCGCCCACTAGATATACAGGGCTTCCTTCTCATTAATTGAATTCAATCTCTCCCCAGGGAACAACTTGCTCTTTAAATATACAGTTGGGTGCTCTTGTCCCTTAGACATATGATGTATTGGATCATTCTGAGCGTGTTTGCATCTTGTTAATCCCAACCTCCTTGCAACACATCCAAGATTCCGTGGGTCTGGCATTCACAGAGCAGTTTGAATGGTGAGAACCCTGTGGAGGCTTGCGTTACCTCTCATGGCAAAGGGAAACAGCAGGAGGAATTTGTCCCAGTGCCTAGGCTTGGTCCAGACTATCTGCTTCACCATGTCCTTCGGTGTCTTGTTAAATCTTTCCATGAGACTGTCTGTCTGTGGATGGTACATTGATGTTTTCAAGGCTTTGATTTTAAAGGGGGAGCATAGCTCATGCATCACCTGCACGGTGAAGTTGGAGCCCTTCAGAGTCTGGGAATGGGAGACAGGGGATGGATAGCTTGATGAATACCTGTTCTATTCATTCCCTCTGAAGCATCTGGAATTGGCCACTGTCAGAAGACAGGATACTGGGCTAGATGGACCAATGGTCTGACCCAGTATAGCGGTTCTTATGTATGTTCTTATGATCAGTCAATATTTCCCATGGAAAC